TAGATGCTCACAATTCTGATTCTACTATAAGACAATGTTTTAGGTAATGAATGGAAATGACAATGAGCTCTCTATTACATGATATAATAAAGAAATGGGATGGTTCACGGATTAAATGATTTAGCTAACCTAGCATTGCAGTATGTACTAAGAAATGCATTGCCATAAAATCTGTGCTAAAAATTAATATTTCTGTAAAGATTTAAAGGTCATTTTAAAATCTTTTAGTACATAATATCATTATTTTACAAAACAGTCAGTTAAAGATAGGCTGCAAGTTCAAAGGAAACAAAACCATTTACGACAGTGTTTGCCTATTGGGAAAAGGCAAATTCTGAGCAGCTAGAACTTGGGAGAGTAGAGAGCAAGCAGTCATACTAGTGTGATTGGAGTAAAGGCCAGAAGACTGGGTATATTGCTGATAAATGACCGAGTATCCACAAAAGTTCATTTTATGGCCTTGCCTATACCTACTTCAAGAGAGATCCTAACTCCTTCCTTCTGGGGTGCCGGGAATGGTCAGCACTCCCTGTACACATGGATGAAACTTTGACTCCAAACTTTGCTGTGAAAGAGAGAAGGCAAGAGGGTCAACACTCAGAGACAAGACCCTTTGCTCTTCTTTGCTCCACTTTTATCGGTCCTTCAGGATAATCACAAACCCTTATCACTGTTTCTCAAGCATGTGATGTGTGACAAGGGTTCTTACTGGAACTAGGAGGATCTGTTTATGGGAAAGATATGCTAATCTGCATGTTCTAGGAGTTCTCCTATACATAGCCTAAGGGACAATGCAGACATCTCTTAGATCACAGGGTGGCTGTTTGGGCTGAGAAAGCTTCAGGAAGGCCACTCCCAGCAGCATTCCCACGCCAGAGTGGTCACACAGCCCTCGCCATTCCTAAAGCCTATGCCCTTCTCTGAAACCTTCCCTGCCCCCAGTGGCCTCCATGTTACATTTTAGCAAGCCAGGTATTATGGCTCATTTCATGCTCTACATTAAGCCCAACACTGCAGAGCATGCTGGGCCAGGTGATGCATCCAAGCATTATAGGCTGATACTCAATGTCATAACTTCTCTGGTTGTGAGGGTGATCACATCCCTTACTTTAGGCCTGAGGTTTTTTCCTCTCAACATTTTTCGAAGCTAAGGTGAAGCATGGAGTAATAACTACTTGATTCCTTTGCCAACTTTCTCTAAGCCTCTAAGAAACTTCCACATTTTATGGAGTAGACTGTTTGCAAATGATTTCCAAATCAAACATTCACGATAGCTGGGTTAGTGCTGGGGGTGTGGCATTGTTGAGATGGAGCCAGGACTTTCTACATGCCTTCTCTAAAGACCTGTGCAGTGAATTTCTCTCACCTGCCAGGTTTCTTCATCATCACAAGACAACAAATGCCTTAAGTACTTGGAAACCCCAGTAGTCGAGTTTTAGAATAGGGTCACATTTCAGAAAACTTAGTTCTGACTCTAAGAAATTTAAGAAACTCAAAAATTTTAAAATTAGACTATATCCAAACATATAATACACTTATTAAAATGCTTTTCACTCTCCTCCTTAATTCTCTGCCCTAAAATCTTTTAGGGGCTATAATACCCCAAATATAGAAAATTTATCTACCCCATTTCTTCACTATCCTGGTCTCTGTCATTCATGCCCAGATAAGGCCTTTATCCAGTATGTACTTACTCAGTGTGGCACTCCCTTCCCATGTAGCCCCTGAAAGCCATATTTGGGCCTCCATGAACATTGTTATCTTGAGAATCAGTCACAATTTTAACCCTAGTTAACCCTCTTTTCTCTCCATTCTGGAGTCTGAATAATCAGAACCTAATAATATTTTTCAGTACCTGGATATATTAGTAATGCATTCAGTAGTGGCAGACTTTGGCCACAGTGATGAACATAACCCTTTATACCCATTTCTAAGATTCCAAGTTTTTCCCAAACGATTGATTCAGTAATTGGTGGTCACCACATTCAGGAACACCAACGTTATTTGCCTATATCCACTTTACCCCAACTGCTTTTCTTTTTAAGATTTATTTCTTTATTTTAGAGAGAGAGCATGCACAAGCAGGGAGAGGGACAGAGGGAGAGGAAGAGACAATCCCAAGCAGACTCTGTGCTGAGCCAGAGCCTGACACAGGGCTCAATCTCACAACCCCCAGATCATGACCTGAGCCGAAACCAAGAGTCAGTCGCCCAATTGACTGAGCTGCCAAGACACCCCCACAACTGCTCTTTTTAATGCTAACTCAGAGACCACAGGAAAGGAATTTGAGATCTGCTTCATTTAAAACATCTTTTTTTAGGGGTGCCTGGGTGGCTCAGATGGTTAAGCATCTGCCTTCAGCTCAGGTCATGATCCCAGGGTCCTGGGAATGAGCCCCACATAGGGCTCCTGGCTCAGCGGGGAGCCTGCCTCTCCCTCTCCCTCTGCCCCTCCCCCTGCCCATGCTCTCTCTCTCTCTGTATCTCTGTGTCTCAAATGAATAAATAAAAAATCTTAAAAAAAAAAATCTTTTTTTTTAAATCTTTAAAACATCCCTTTTATTAAGCTATATGGGGAAGGAGAGATCATTGAATCTGTGGCATAGGGAATCCGTCCTGCCGAGAAAATGAAAACAATCTCTGCTTTTCTCAGTATCATCCACGCATGCTGCTGACTGGCCTTCCTGAAAATCGTTGATTTGCATGATGAAGTACTTACTTGGCTTTGGTGGAGTTTTTGAAACTCAAAGGATTTCTTATGTTGAAAAGATATTTTGTTTGCTTTTGCATGGAATGCATTTATTTGAGAGATGTAAACTTCTGGGACTTGTAGTAAATTTGAAATCTTAATTCTGCTGCATGCTCTTCAATGAGTTGTTTGGTTGGAGGATTATATTTAGCTTGAGATGTAATCACCTCGATTATAACAATTTTTGGAGTACTAATTTCACATCTAAACTGTGGATGCAGAGTCCAGGTACGTGGACACCTAGGAGGCTGCACATGGGATAATTGATACAAATTCCTTTTTGGAAATAGAGAAGGTTCTTTCACTTCTTGCTTCGAGCTGTTCATTGGCCGTTGTTAGATTCATGGTAATAATGTCTCTGTGCACTCTAATTTTTGTCAAATGCTTTTAAATTATTTTTAGCTAACTCATTTACATTGCTAACAGTGTAATATTTCAATATACTCGTTCATCCTTTTACGATACCCAAATAGATAGCAGAGTCTTTACCATGTTACTCAGCAAAAGCAGTTTTATCAATGAGCTAATTTAAGATTTCAAAGAACATCATTTGGATGAGCTCAACTTTATCATTTAACATTTATTTCAAGAGAGTGAGTAATAATAAAATATTTTATTTGCCTTGGGAATTCTTTAGTATGATATTTGTTGCACCAGATTAACTTTTTAAAAAACATCTGATTTTCACTAATAAATGCGAACCTCCATTTAGTCCTGTGCTAAAGGACAGGAGGGATGGGCTGGCATGTTATGGGCACAGAATATTCTGAGCTGAATCCTGAATAAGTGTGTTTAACCAAAGGTGATTGATTCCTTGAGTCTATCAAAACCTTATCATGTGTTTTGCCACCTGTTTGTATCCCTACCTTCCAACTGTACCTGCAGCTCACAAAAAGTTTAAGAAAGAGGGTTCAGAAAAAAAGACAGAATTTACCTCCACCTGAACCAGACTTGGACACCAAAGGGCAGCTTCTGCGCCATGGGATAGGCAGATCCGAAACACTGAAACTCATCTGCCACTTTTACATCAATGGCCATGAAAAATCTTCCTGTAATTTCCTTAGATCAGCATTTCTTCTTACTTTAGAAGAGCTTAGTATTGTCTGCCGATTTGAGTTCTCATTGTTAACACATTTTTGGATTATCCCATCACCATTTATTGAACAGTCTACCATTGCTCAGTGATCTGTGATAAAACCTGTTCCATATGGGCAATACCGGGATGGGATCCTTTAGGAACTCCCTATTCTGTTCAACTGGTTAATTGTTTCTTCCTGGCCAGTGCTACACTATCTTAGTTACTATTACTGGATAATAAGTTATGGCACCTGATTGAAGTCCTCTTACCTTGCTGTACTACTTCAGCACTGTCTTGACTATTCCTGAGCCTTTGTTCTTCCATACAAATTATAGAATTAAATTGCAAAGTTCTATAAAAACTTATTTTATTTGAATTACAATTGCATCTATATATTAATTTAAACCTTTTGACATTGAAATTAAATTGTTCTGACCTACAAAGATGACAATTTCTTATGGTTCTACGTAAAAGATTGAAGGGGAAACAAGTGACATTGTTCTGATAATTTCTGATAATTGAGTCTCTACTCATGAATATCATGTATATTATGGCCTGAAAATTTGTTCCCCTGCAAAAAAATTCATATGTTGAAATCCTAACTCCCAAGGATGACAGCATTAGGAGGTGGGGCCTTTGGTTGGTGCATAAGTCATAAGGATGGAACACTCATAAATGGGATTAGTTACTCATAAAAGAGACCCCACAGAGGTCCTTAGCCTCTTCCACCATGTAAGGATACAATGAGAAGGTGAACCGGGAAGAAGATCCTCACCAGAATACAACAATGCTGGCACTTTGATCTTGGACTCACGGCCTCCAAAGCTGTGAGAAATAAATTTCTATTTATAAGCTACTCATCTATGGGTAAGCTACCCAGTCTATTCTGTCATAGCAGCCCAAATGAACTAAGACAATGTATCTCTCCATTTACTTGGGTTTTCTTCACTATCTTTTTTTTTCACAAGGCAAGTTGTTTGTTTATTCTTTAAAAAATGTTAGATGATATTACAAGTTACTAATGTCTAAGAGGACCTAACCACATTTGCATTTTTAAAAATATGGCATCTATCTTGTAGCAACACTAGTTGACCCAACCTGCAGAAACCTATAAAAGTTAAGATGAATTCAGTTGATCTGGAGGTGAAGTTCTGAAAGTGCTTCTGTAGGAAACTTACTGCAGAGAGAAAACTGCAGGTGGTTCCATCAGAGACACGTGCATGTACTTTGAAGTCTTATAATTCTCCCTAATTGCTTGCTGTGATCGATGGGATATATTAAGGCATGCTTTATGCAGCTCGCTCAGGCAAGGCACAATTTCATTTAATGAATAGCCTGTAAATGCAGCAAGGGTTTCTGGCCAGAAGTGGGTGTTCACAGTATAGCTGGCCAGGCAATAAGCTACTGCAGCTATCGGTGAAGGAAGATATTTCAAGAATGGGTCAGCTTCAAGAAGACTCAGTTCTGCTACATACTTGGCCAGATTCTCAGTTCTGGCGCACACTCCTTGTCTCCTTAAGTACTGAAGGAGAAACTGGTTGGTGGTTGGCACTGTGAGATCAAAAGCCAGGATTTTCAGGAGCAGATGTTCCATTCTTAGCAGTTGGCGTTTTGGGTAAGTATCATCAATTATGTAGACAAACTTGTCTACTTCAGGTGGATATATTTCTTCATATTGAGAAGCCAGAAGAATCGCTGCTGTGCCTACAACCTGCAATTTCCCTCTCAGAATAGACACGCATGAAAGTAACCTGTCCAGGAAGATGAGAGCCAGGTAGAGAGTCTCTGCTCGAAGCTTACACTCTTCGCCGACCTCAACGAGCCAGTCCACCAGAATCGTTCGCATGCCTTCTGTGATGTCTGGTTGCTTCCTCATGTAGTGTGCTTTGGGCTTGTGTCTTATTTCAGCTTCTCTAAGGTACTGATGAATTCCTTCAGCATATTCAGTCACATTTAACACATCTGTACCAAAATCTGATGCATCTTCAGACTGGGAATGGAGAGATGAATCTACCACCATTGGGGAAACTGTGTTAAAATCCGGCAGGAAGTGAAGGTCTGACTTGAGTGTGCTGGTGTCTACCTCATACACATCCTCAAATGCCATCTCCTCTTTCCCTGTACAGCTGTCTCTGTCCCTCTGCTCGGGCTCATCCAGGTAGACAGCAAATCCTTGCTTGGCTGGCACCTGGACCATGTAGTATCTCATCCATGTAGATAGCAAATCCTTGCTTAGCTGGCTCCTGGACCATGCAGTATCTCATCCATGTAGATAGCAAACCCTTGCTTGGCTGGCACCTGGAGTGAGAGCACTTTCTTTCCAGCTGGAGGGAAGACATTTTCTGATCCAGAAAACACCTGACTGTTGTGATCCCCTGGCCACAGGTCCTCCTGTACTGTCCATTCTCAGTCAGCACTGTTCTCTGTGGGGGATCCTGACCGAGCTGGGGTCTGGTTATCATCTGACAGGCATCAGGACCTCGAGGCACTGGAGCTAGGGCTACTCTGTTCTTGGAGCTGCTGCGATGCAGACCCTCAGTCTCCACAGAATGCAGAGCGGGCCTCACTCTTCTCAGGCTTATATCTTTATATAAGTCTCAAACAATTAGCAAATGCACTCTTCAATATCTTTTTGAGGACCCCTTATAATTTTTCTATTCAGATCTTGAACATATGTTAAAAGATTTATTCCGAGGTATCTTAGTTTTTTCTTTTTCACTTTTTTTTCTTTCCGCTATTGTAAATGCTACCTTCTTCTTATTACACTTTCAGTTTATGCATATGTATGGAAATGCAAATTGATATAAACACTTAAATGCTTATAATAGTTAATCTTCAGATTCTTTGTGGCTTTCTTGTAGATAATCATATCATTTGTGAAAAAAAGTTTATAATCTACCTTTGATTTGAAAATTGATACATGATTTTTGGGGGGAGGAGGAGCAGAGATTATTATTCTTGGTAAAATGACATGACATTTTTTTTTATTCTTATGTTAATCCCCATACATTACATCATTAGTTTTAGATAAAGTGTTCCATGACTCATTGTGCATAACACCCAGTGCTCCATGCAGAATGTGCCCTCCTCAATACCCACCACCAGGCTAACCCATCCTCCCACCCCCCTCCCCTCTAGAACCCTGTTTGTTTTTCAGAGTCCATCGAATGACATGACATTTTATCTCCAAATAGGAGCCCTGAAGTTTCAGGGTTGTTTTTGTTTAATTTACAATCAACCTCTTTAATGGAACTTCCCAGCTTTTACAAACCAAAGAATTTACAATTGATTTTTAACTCGATCTGATCATCTCTATTTATCATCAGGAAGGTTTAATTGTTTATACTTCTATCTCTTTGGATTTATATCAACCATCTATTTTGTTTTGCGTGATTAACTTTCATCTTTCTCCATGGATTACTTTTACTGGATTCATCCAGTTTTCTTTCATCCACCTTTTCTATTGGTTTTGAGTTACATAATATATTTCTATTTCAAATGCCTTCTTCCAATCAATGCAAGGTCCCTGGAACATTTTCTTTAATGTCTTGATTTTATCACTGCCTCCTGATTTCAAATTATTGTCAATATTTTAGTTTCATTTTTAAAATTCTCCAACTAGGGGCGCCTGGGTGGCTCAGTCGTTAAGCATCTGCCTTCGGCCCAGGTCATGATCCCAGAGTCCTGGGATCAAGCCCCACATCGGGCTCCCTGCTCCGCGGGAAGCCTGCTTCTCCCACTCCCCCTGCTTGTGTTCCCTCTCTCGCTGTGTCTCTCTCTGTCAAATAAATAAATAAAATCTTTAAAAAAAAAAAGAATCCTAGATTGAGGGTTGCTTTTCCTCAGCACTTTTTAGATATGTGATTTTAGTCTCATCCAATGTCTATTGGTAGTACTACTATTAATATGAAGTCTGTTGTCAGCCTAACTATATTCCTCTCTAGAAGAAATCTCTTTTTGTCTCTGGACTTCATTTTTGGGTTGTGGGGGTTTTCTTGGTTTGTTTGTTTGTTTCACCATAATACATCCTAGTGTGGTTATGTATTTTTATGTTTGTTTGTATTTGGGAGTTCATTTGGGTTTGGTGTTAGGCACCCATTATGATTTTTGAATTTGAGGGTTCATATCCCTCTTCAATTCTGAAAACTCCCTAGTCATTATCTCCTGGAATACTGTCTCCCCCTATGTCTTTTATTTTCTCTTTCTGGAATACCTGATTCTATCCCTTCATTCTATCTTCTTTATATCTTAACATCACTTCATAATTTCTTAAAACCATTTTATTTCTCTTTCTATTGTATTCTGGGCAATTTACTCAACTCTATCTTTCAGTTCTCTGGTTCCCATTTTAATTGACATTCATCTGCTATTTATCCCACCCACTGAACTTATTTTTTTACAATTACAGTTTCATATCCAGAAGCTTAATTTGGTTCTTCTTCAAAACTGCTTGGATTTCGCAAGCAGCTTGGTCTTTTGTCTGATTTTTAATTCTTTATTTCTTTGATATTTTTAAATATATGTAATTTGTAGTTTTCTTAAGATTGTTTTTTGGTCTTCAATTTTGGGATGTTAATTCTCCCAGGTATGATGTCTACTAGCTCTCTTTCACAGCAGATTTTTTCTCAAATTCTTCAAAGGGCTCTTACTATGAGCTTATCTTCAGTGAAGCTTGTCTGCAGTAGTTAGATTTTTTATGAAAGACAGACATATCAGCAAATAGCTTGTGATGACTGCTGTCTAAGAGGGGTATGGGCAAGGTGCTAGAAGACTACAGAGGAGTGAGAAAAAGAAAGGCTTCACAGAAGAAGAATAAGCCTGAGGCAGGAAGATCAGAAAGATGAACAAGATCTGATCTCTGGTTCAGTTGTGATAGATAGGTTTAGGGTTTTGGATGTGATAGAGGAAAACATCTCTGCCATTTATTCAGACTTCCTCGCTGATTTGTGAAGTTGTGTAAGGTGTCTACACCCATTGCTCAAACTGAATTACGTGTGTTGGAGCAGGGATTCACTGAGATGCCAAACTCACCCAGTTGATGTGAAAGGAAATCCTAAAGGGAGCTTTCAGGTGGCTTCCAAAGAATCTCATCCATGGTTCCTCCTGCCTAGTTGAGTTGCTTTAAACTTTCTTTCTCCAAGACCAAGTATAAAATGTTTGAGTGAGGGAGCCTTCTGCCTAACATTAGACAAACAGCTCATGATCATCATGGAAGCATAACCTTGATATTGGCCTCAGAAGAAGTCTCTCATCACCAATCCTCTAGCCATAGGATCTTATTTCTTTGTTTAGGTTTTTGGGGTGTTTTACTGTTTTGTTTTGTAGGCATAAGAACTACTACTGGGGAAGAGGTGAAAGAGGAAAAAATAAGGAGATAAAAGGTAGAAAAGGCAAAAAAACCTTAATGCAAAAGATCTGACTGATAAGACAGAAAAGCTAGAGCCGAAGCAAAGAGAGTGCTCTAAGCACTCTAAGGAGTGAGGTAGAGCCCATAAATCAGGAAGGTCCTAATGGCCTGTGAGACCACAAGGAGATTTTATCCAACAGACAGTATAGAGCCGTTGAAAGATGTTGAGCCGAAGGATAATAGCAACAGTGCAGATATTGGATAGGGGTAGGGGCAGGCAGAACATGAGTGAATTCAATCAGAAACTATCATAATAATCCAGACTGGAACTCACACTGGCCTGGACTATGGTGGTGGCAGTAGGTAGAGAAGTGGATTGCTTCAGAAGAGGTTGAGTGGGAGTTGGAACTCCAAAGTATTTTTTTAGTCTTGTGTCTCATTTCTTCTTTACCAATTAATGATGTCATTCAATGTACCCTCGTTCCTGCCTACTCTTTGGTGTCTTGGGGATCTGTTTTTGAGAAGTACTAAATATATTTGTTATAAGTAGAACTTTCTGGTTTCTTATCCATATGACAGGCAGACATGTAGATAGAAATGTACATGAGGAGGTAGTTGTGGTGATGTCAATGGACATTTATTTCAGCAGATTGAATTATCTATCAGCATCTGATCTCTGCAAACTAAGTCAGGCTGTTCTGTCCGTTCTTCTACCTCTAGGAACAATTACACCCAGAGGATTCCTCCAAAGTTTCAGCAAGAAAGACCCACACTCTCCTAATTTACCTTCCCGCAGGAAATGAGAGGAGAGGAACCTATAGATTTGTGCCAAACATGTCACTTTATTTTTTTTTAAGATTTTATTTATTTGAGAGGAGAGAAAGAGAGAGCACATGAGCAGGGGCGGGGCCAGAGGGAGAGGGAGAACCAGACTCCCCACTGAGCAGGGAGCCCGATGTAGGGCTCAATCCCAGGACCCTGGGATCATGACCTGAGCTGAAGGCAGATGCTTAACCGACTGAGCCACCCAGGCACCCCCGAACAACTCACCTTACTAAAACTGCCTTTCAGAGTGATCTGAAAAGGTCTGGGTACTTTATTCCCTAGAGATTGCTGTGGGCTCCTCCACTTAGGAGGGAAAGATCTAACAAAAGTTTATTTCTAAAATTCAGTTTTAGGGATTATGCAATTTCACCACTAAACTTGTACCTTCCCTTTGAAATGCTTTCACAATGCTTCAAACCCTTACTTGTCATTATTTTGAATGACTAAAAATTCTAAACTTTTGATGAACAAGGTTATTTTTCTTTTTTCCTCACCTTTTAGTTTCCCCTTGACTTATGATAACTCAGAAGAACGTTCTGATTTCTTTTAATTCCCATTAGCAACACTTCCTTCTTTCTGTGAGCTCTGTTAAGATTCCAGGGAAATGGGGGGCGCCTGGGTGGCTCAGATGGTTAAGCGTCTGCCTTCGGCTCAGGTCATGATCCCAGGGTCCTGGATCAAGTCCCGCATCGGGCTCCCTGCTCCGCGGGAAGCCTGCTTCTCCCTCTGCCTCTGCCTCTCTCTTTCTCTCTCTCTGACTCTCATGAATAAATAAATAAAACATTAAAAAAAAAAAAAAGATCCCAGGGAAATGGGAATATCTGATTTTTATTTTTTCTTTTATAATGGTACTAATATATCTTCCATATAAGCAAGTAGCCAGAAGTTTTGACCTGATTAAAACATCGAAATGATGGCATCAAGTTTGGTAAACTGAAATAATTTGTTGGATCTTTTAAAGGGAAAAAAAAATCCTTTCTCCAAAGATGATGATCCATTCTTTCCTAAGAAAATCTTTGAGACAGTTGTCACATCACCAACCCCACTTTGGTCACACAGAAAACCTCACAAAAGCTCCGCTCATGTGGTTTTGTAGCTGTTATTGGAAACAAAAGTTCCAAAACCAGTTGGACACAAAGAGAAGAAAATAAAACTAGCCACTGAGGCCTGAAATGCCAACTTTCACCATATGTAGTCCCACAAAAATCAAAAGGGAAAAATAATCAAAATAAAACACAACAGAGCTAGAATCACAGAATCAGGAGATAGGATTTGCTAAAGAGTTTCACCCAAACCTATGAAAATGAAAATCACTTTTACACAGCTGTCTCCCAGACCATAAAGGAATGTATTATTATGATTTGCATTGATCTGATTAGTGTATTTACATATTGCATCCTTCCTTCTGCACCACTCCCAGTCAG